GGATGGCCGGTTTGTATCCAAGCCACAGCAGCCACAGCCATCTTAGTGCAAGAAAGTAGGAAACTAACCTTTGGAGACGCCCTGATTGTCAGCACACCTCATCAAGTCAAAACTATTTTAAAACAAAGAGCTGGCAGATGGCTAACTGACTCTAGAATCTTGAAATATGAGGCAATATTATTGGAACAATCAGACTTAGTTTTAATTACAGATTCAAATTTGAATCCTGCGCAATTTTTAGAGGGAAAAAAGGATTCAAATGTAGAATTAGAACATTTCTGCTTAGATATTATAGACCTACAAACTAAAATAAGAAGTGATTTGCAGGATTCTCCACTAGGAAAGGGACTACACTGGTTTATAGATGGGTTGTTTTGAGTGGTAAAAGGGGAGAGACAAAATGGCTATGCAATTGTAGATGGAGCTAATAAGACTCTGGTGGAGGCTGGAAGCTTGCCTAAATCTTGGTCTGCGCAAACCTGTGAACTGAAATTATTAAAAGGAACATCTGGCATTATTTACATTGACTCTAAATATGCCTGTGGAGTGGTCCACACATTTGGAAAAAAATTGGTTAGAAAGGGGATTGATGAATTCAAAAGGAAAAGAGTTAAGGACTTAGTTAAAGAAGTAATGGAAGCTTTAAAACTACCCAAACACATTGCTATAGTACATGTAGCCGGACATCAAACAGGAGCAAGTTTTGAAGCTATAGGAAATAATTTAGCTGACATGAGGCTAAGGCAGCAGGAAGCCAAGAACCAGAAATGATTGTGATTACAACTCCAACTTTAAAAGGAGAATTAGTCCCAATTTTCAGTGAAGATGAAGAGAAGAGGTTGTCAGAAATGGGGGCAGAAAGGAATGGAGAAGGAAAGTGGATATTACCTGATGGAAGGCAAATGTTGAATAAGTTGATAACACATGAGGTGACCCAAACTCTCCATCAGGGTCGCATTGGGGAGCTTAGGCTTTAGTGGATGTGTTTTTGAAAAAGTATGGTTGTAAGGGAGTTTTCACTGTTGCAAAGCATATAACGGCAGGATGTTTAATTTGCAAGAAAGTTAATAGGCAAGCTCTGAGAGCCACAGAAATGGGAGGGAGACCTCCTGCATTGAGACCTTTTGAACACATACAAATAGATTACACTGAGCTGCCACCTAGTGGCCGAATGAGGTATTTACTGGTCATGGTCGATCACCTAACTCAGGGGTAGGCAACCTTGGCTCTTTTATGACTCGTGGACTTCAACTCCCAGAATTCCTGAGCCAGCCATGCTGAGGAGAAAGGGAGAGGTTTCCAAGCTGAGCCATGCTGGCTCAGGAATTCTGGGAGTTGAAGTCCACGAGTCATAAAAGAGCCGAGGTTGCCTACCCCTGACCTAACTGGATGGGTAGAGTCTTACCCAACTGCAGTGGCCACAGCCAACACAGTGATCAGGATCTTATTGGAGCATATTATACCAAGATATGGGGTAGTGAACGTGATTGATCAAGGTACACATTTCACATCTAAAATACTACAAGGGGTCATGGGAGCATTGGGAATAAGGTGGGAACATCACGTGTCTTGGAAAGCTACATCATCAGGCCGCATAGAACGCTCAAATTGTTTATTAAAAGAACAATTAACCAAGTTAATGATGGAACTGAAACTCCCTTGGATTAAATGTTTATCACTGGCACTTCTTAGATTACGAACAAAACATAGGAAGGATATTGGTTTATCTCCCTATGAGATGTTGTTTGGATTGTCCTACCTGGGCAGTCTGGAAAGAGATGAAGGAATAGAATTAAGGGACAGAAATGTGAGAAAATATGTCGGTAATCTGTCCAGATATTTATTTATTCTCAGGACAAAAGGACTGCTTGCACAACGCCCTCCACTTGACTTTGTGGTCCATCCTTTCCAACCAGGACAGTGGGTGTTGATCAAATCCTGGAAAGAGGAAAAACTCCAATCAAAGTGGGAAGGACCATTCAAAGTATTTCTCATCACAGAAACTGCAGTCCGCACAAAAGAGAAGGGGTGGACTCACCATACCAGAGTGAAAGCCAGTACTGGACCAGTTTGGACTATAAAACCCAGTGAAAATCCTCTGAAATTCAAAATTCACAAGCATTCTAAATGACTCTAAATGCAGTTCTAACAGGGGGAGTTGTGCTCACTGGAATATTGGTTGTTGTATGGTTTTGGGTTCTGTTCTTCTTTTGCAGAACGGATTGGAGGTCCACATTGCTATTCGGCAAACTACAACCTGAGGAAATTGAGTTACTGAATCAGAAGACTGAACAACTACCTGATGTGCTGGTTTTGTGATTGCAGGTGTTGGTGTAATTGCTGTTGCTGTACACACTGCTGTTATTGTGCCCCAGTTCATAGAAATTGTGTAGAAGAGTGTGATATAGATATAATTGAAGACCTCTTAGGACTGCCTAATGACAAGGGAGAGGATTGGGATGACTTGGTGATAGTTGAGTGGTACTGTCAGCACTTTTATTGAGGGACACAGTTTGTTTATTCTTATTATTGACATCCTCCTATTCAGTAAATGTTAGAAGAACATTGGAGGTGGGCGTTGTGGGTTTCTTTGTTAAGTATGGGGATCCTGGGATATCTCCTAATCAATAAGAAACTCTACTGTGAAAGACCTAAACCCAATCCAGGACCTCACCCACAATCGCATGTGTAAATTCTGTGATTGTCTTCGTTGGTATACTAACCCAACTTGATGTTGGGTTTGGGAAATGGAAGAATATACTGATGCCACTTATCACTTCTTTTATTGCAGTTTTTGGAATTTTAGTAGCCTTGGGTTGCTGCATAATCCCCTGTATAAAAGGACTGGTACAGAGATTAATAGAAACTGCCATTACTAAAAGAATGCCTTTAGGAAAACCCCCACCATATAAAAATGAGGAAATGATGTGTTTGAGAGATAGTGATGAGGAAGAACAACAGGAAAGTCAGACACTGGAAAATCCCAGAGAGGTAGAACAAGAACTATCAGAGTGGATGTAAACCTCTTTATAACTGGGATCACTATAGCTTAGGCTTGCTTGCCAACATATAAGTATAAACTGTAACCCATATATGCAAAGTGTACTTTTGAATTGTCTATAAATTTCTGAAAGCATAACAAAAAGAGACGGTGGATTGAAAGGAGATTATTAATCAGAAATTTCTAATGAGTCTAAAGGTCGATAGAAGAAGCCATCTGAAAGTCATAAATTCAGACAAGTGAATTACATACAAATAAAAAAAGCAGAAGTTGCTAACTAACTGAAACTGCAAGTAGAAGAAACACAAAAACTGAGGATAAAGTTTAGAGTTTAAGGTAGCAAAGATATAACTGCAAACAAATATAGAGATAATTTGGGGCGTTGAGTGCGATAGAGGAGGGGGGAATCTGCGTCAGGGGTAGGATATAAAAATGTGTCAAACAGCTCTTTAAGGTGTGGCTGGACTCCTACATGTGTTTCAGCTCACCAAGCCTTTGCAAATGCTTCTTTTTTAAAAATAAAACTTTGTTGCTTGAATTCCAATTGAGTTTGTTTGTTTTGGGATCTTGAGCCACGTTCCAAACAGTGGGATGCATGTTATAATCATAAACATGTGGTATGTCATTTTGTCAAACTATAGGACAACTTGCTGACAAGGTTCCACTAAATACTAAGATTAGTAGAAGACACAATATTTTTGTTGCAATTAGATTTTTGGCTACATCAGGGGGTTTTCTGACCAGCAAATTACTGCATCAAGTTTTGACTTTTTGCCTTTAAATAAATCTTTGAAAATATAGATAAATGTGGAATAAAAAGCAAGGGCAATGGAGAACAAAAATCAAAGTCATTAATTTCCTAATTGTTTTATTTTGTAGGCTGATTAGAGGATTTAAATACATGTAACAGAATTCACCATCAAGTATGTTAGGTTTGTATAAAACCATTTTGCAACGCAACACATTAACTTTTTACCCTTTCTATTTGATTTGTAATTTGGCTTTTAAGATGTTTAAACTGGAATTTGGAAGATTGGGATTTAGATAACTTCATCACCATGAGCTTACTGAGCGGTCCAATCATTCTGTCTTGATCAAAAGGCTTCAGACTGCCAATACAACAGGAACTAACTCCTTCCTATACAGTATAGATGTATACTGTAGTTGTTTGTGGGGATAGACTAAGAGAAAATCCCATCTACACTTCCTTGTAGTAGAATGTAAATACTAAGATATATGGATACTTGAAGTATTTCATCACTTAGGCTTATGATATAAAAAGATGGTGTAAGACTATGTGCAGTTCAAGGATGAAATGTTGAGATTTTGTTATTCAATGATCTTGCTTTTCTCCTTGCAAACATTTAATGACCAAACTAGGGAATATCATCAGTGCTTTGCAGGAACGACAGACGACACATACAGGTAAGCCAATCAGAAACATATATAACCAGTGCTTTTTTTCTAAAAAAAAAAAAAAAAAAAAAAAAGGTGCAGGAACTCATACACATCATACAACCCGCCTTGCCTACCCTACAAGGTTCCATCCAAAAAAGGTGCCGGAACTCCGTTCTAGGCGTTCTATGACAAAAAAAAAATATCCCTGTATATAACAATTCTGATTAAGATACTAAGTCAAACAGACCTAGATTGGCAATGAATGACCTGAAGGAAGAAAACTGAGCAAACACCCAGTGCTAACGATTGTTGCAATAGTTCTGCTTGACTTACACTGTCTTTTGATTTGAGCCATTTGGAATCTTAAGCCAAAATATCTCAAGAATCCTAAAAAATCTCTTGTGCTCAAGACTGCACAGAATCTGGGGGACCAGACCTAAAATTAAGGTACCGTGCAATTTCACAGTTCAAGTTCCGGAACCCTATTGAATCGGAGCTTGCAATCATTACGTTCGCCTCTTAGAGGCACTGGAGTTGCATCTCATGGTTTCTCTTTCTTTTTTTCTCTCCTCAAAAACAATAGGAAGTTGATGAAAAAGTCACTTAAACGGGGTTCCCCACACGGGCGGGTTTTTTTTTTCTTCCCCTCCCTGGTTGTCTGAATTCCATCAATCCACGATCGGCCGCAATATCCTAGAAACAGAGTTTGTAAAGAGCTTCCGAGGAGGCCTGGAGGAAGGGTAAGGATTCTGGGGCACGAGCGCCTGTAGGCTTGCCGTAATCGTCTGAACAAAGGCTATGGGAACCTTTCCGCTATGCAGGGCTTTGCTAGGCGGGGAGGGCTGGTTCTTTGCTGGGAACTTATCTGGGATTCGAGAACGACCCGAGGTTCGATTCCACGGGAGTAGCAACTTAGGCTTCGTTACTTCCCAGGTAAACAGACCGTACTCGGTGCCCGTGCGCGATTCTTCTAGTTAGACTAGGAGGGGGGGGGACTCCGCCGGTAGAGGTGGCCCCGTGTAACGGATGCAACTTGAATTGGGGGCCTAGGTGAGTTCACTATTGGGCTCCGTCGCTTTTTCTCGCGGTGCAGTCTGGCTGGCGAGATGTTGAATAAAGCAGAAAGGAAGGACCAGACCGATGTTTTTTAAACTACGGTTTAGAGTCCAGGGGTAGTCAACCTTGGCTCTTTTATGACTCGTGAACTTCAACTCCCAGAATTCCTGAGCCAGCCATGCTGGCTCAGGAATTCTGGGAGTTGAAGTCCACGAGTCATAAAAGAGCCAAGGTTGACTACCCCTGGTTTAGACAGTGATGGAGAGGCGTTCACTCAAAAGGCATCTCGTCTCTCCCTCTGTAACAGATGTTGGGTTTGGGGAAAGAAAGAGAGGGGCTAAGAAAGAGAGTGAGAGAAGAAAGGAAAGAGAACCAACTGGAGGGAAATTATGGTAAAAATACCCTGAATGAGGTAGCGCAATTTCATGATAACCACTGGTTATCAGAGTTAGATGTGCTGAAGTAGCAAAAAAATAAAATAAAAATTAGGTCAGTCTTAATCTCGTTAGACTTGCATTAAGTTGCCTCAGGGACTGCTGGGATAAAGAAACACAAAATCGTTGAATCCCCTCTCAACACAAGGAAGGGTAAAACCCAGAGGCTAAATAGATTGTTCTCTGTAGAACATTATAAAGTGCCAACAGATTTTAGACCCTAACTTTGAAATGTTTTATCAGAAGATGTTTGAAACATGATGTTTGATAGCTTCTTTTAATGAAGTTTATAATCTTGTATATGAATTATACAAGTGATAGGCCTGTTTCCTTAGTGAATCTGACTGTTGTTATATACCTATATATTTTTATTAGAGATCTGAAGCTTAAAATGCAACATTGGTTCATTTGATGTAAGAAATACAGTATAGTTTCTTTTTTCCAGACAGAAGTTTTTTCATACATTACAGTAATTTTATTCTGGAAGGTTCATGGGATTTTCTAGATGTTTTTAGAAAGTATAACAGGATAATGAAGTTGGAAGGGACCTAGTCCAACTCTCTACTCAAGCAGGAAACCCTGTAACATTTCAGACAAATCATTGTCCAGTCTCTTCTTAAAACCTATGTTGGAGCATCTGCAACTTCTGGAGAAAAGTTCTTCCACTGATTAATGGATAAAAATGAATATATCCATTATATATGGTATATATGAATGGTTTGGAAATTGAAAGCAGTAAAAATGGATTTTGCACATTCTTATAATTGCCAGGAAATACTGATGACGCAAGTCTGGAAAGTCCTGCATTTTTGATAAAATCACAGCTGTGGATTTTAGAACAGAGATCCTTCCGATGACACTTTCTCTTTCTTACTTGTGTGAGCTGAGAATTACATGCGGTCAGGTTCAGGAAGTATAGTTTACTGGCTTCAATCTTATATATAAATGAGTTGTTACCCAAGGGGAAGCATGACCTAAAAAAAGTCTAAAATTTGTGCATATGCTTCATGTTTACTTTTGCTTCCTTAAAATGGAGTTAGAAGCATCCAAGTAGGGGGGGGGCATTCCTCAATTGTCTGTGACTTTATCTTTTTATGGCAAGCAGAAAATAGGCCACAAAGAACTGAAAATAAGTGAATGTACCGAATAAAGCTGTGATACTCATATTTATTTAACTGGCCTGTTTTTCTTTCTCTTCATTTCTAATTGAACGCTAACCTACATGTTTCTAGCTGGTTAATAGCTTCCAAATGTGCTCTCCATAGAGACTTTTATATCTATTTTTTTCTCTTACCATCACACATGCACATTCTGCATTATGCATCATATTTACACAGCAATCTTTTAAATTGCTGTTTATTGCAAACCTCTTAGAATTCTGTAGAGAATTGGTGAGATAAACATATTAAATACATAATGCCAGTTGGTAGGATATAGACATTTGTACTATGCAGCAGTGATTCCTTTTAGGGATAGGCAGAAAATAGTTGGTAACCTGTTGATCAATCTTAAAGCAATTGACAATGGTTTCTGACTTATCTAGTAATATAAACAAACCCAACTCCCTGCTCTCAACCTTGGGAGAAGTTTGGGAATTTTTGTACTGATCAAAATTCTAAGTCTAAAAATATTCTCTTAGATTCTCAGTTCCATATTTCTTATATATACTTGTCTGCCTCAGCTCATTGTTTAGTTCAAATTTCTATTTAGCAACAAATTACAAACTAAATCTCATAATCAAAAGTTTTATTTTGTCACATGCCAGTTTTGCAGACAGACATGAAATAAAATATTGTCAAAAATATTAATGATTGCAAAAGTTCTGTTTGTTATCATTCTAAGCAAATAGCCTCCTCTACTTATTTTTGCAAGCAAAGGTCAAATTCAAAAGTTACCATCTCTTAGCCATTAATTTTATTTCTTGCAAACTATTTCCGGGAGATGATTAAATGGCCAAATACAGTATTAGGTTTTAGTTCAGCTTGCTGCTTGCTATTATTTTTTTTCTATTGAAATTCTATTCTCAGATTTTATGTGTTTTAATGAAGCTATTTGAAATATTAATCACCTCAGTAAAACAGCTAGCTTCTTTGGGCATACTTGCATACAGCATACTGTGGTACTCAATTGCTTTGAATTTGTGCTGGTACTCATTGTTTGGTATTCAATGCACCAGCTAGATCAGTGGTTCTCAGCCTTTTTAATGCTGCGACCCCAACCGGTCGTAAGTTGAGGACTAAACCAGTCGTAAGTCGAGGACTAAACCGGTCGTAAGTCAAAGACTACCCAACCGGTCGTAAGTCGAGGACTTTCCCTGCGCCGGCCGAGGTGTAGCTGGCAAGTGGCAGAGACAGAGCAGGCTGACCACCAGCTGGCCCAGCCCAAGGGAGGTAAGGCATCCGCCGGAAAAGGGGGGAAAAATGGCGGACAAAAAAATGGCGGACAGCCTTGCTAGCGACCCCCGTGAAATGATCGATCGACCCCAAATGTGGTCCCGACCCACAGGTTGAGAACCACTGAACTAGAACTTGTCAGTGTTGGTTGCCTTGTAATTCACTACCTTATTCCTTATGGGAAAAATTTCTACTCATCATTTTTGGTATTCATCGTGTGTCCTGGAAACAATTAACAATGAGTAGCAAGGTACCACTGTATTTTCAGGTTCCATCCTGCTGATTTTTACAGAAAATGATTATCTATTACTTTCACTTTCAAGAACAGAGTCCATCCCTAATAGTTCAACACCATCAAATAGATATCTTAGGACAGGGGTAGGCAACCTTGGCTCTTTTATGACTCGTGGACTTCAACTCCCAGAATTCCTGAGCCAGCTATGCTGGCTCAGGAATTCTAGGAATTGAGATCTACGAGATACGAGTCATAAAAGAGCCAAGGTTGCCTACCCCTGTCTTAGGATAATAGTAGTGCCCGTTGAGTTATTCCTTCCTTTTTCTTTATCTTAATTCCTGGGAAGTTCTGCTTGCCAGAAAAATAAGCAATATTATTTAATGTATTTTTGAAAAAATTCCTATGGAAATGCATATCATAATATGTTAAAACTGTATAAACATTTAATTTAAATAGTGGAGACAGCAGCTCTCTAGGGCCCCACATTAGTGTCTTTTTCCTTGCTTGAAGATGCCAAAGGTTGAATCTGAGAGCTTTGAATATAATGGCGAATAGCAATAGCTCTTAGACTTATATACCGCTTCATAGTGCTTTACAGCCCTCTCTAAGTGATTTACAGAGTCAGCTTATTTCCCCCAATAATTTGGGTCCTTGTTTTACCAAGGATGGAAGGCTGAGTCAACCTTGAGCCGGTGAGAATTGAACTGCCGGCAGTCAGCAGAATTAGCCTGCAATACTGCATTCTAATCACTGCGCCATCATGGCTCTGTACAGGAACTACCATATTGTCCATTATTGCTACTGCAAAAATGCTCCAAACTTATATTTAACATTTTAATATCTATTTCTTTTTTAAAAATGCTTTGCAGAAATTAATTTTTTTTTACAAATTTTTTATTAATTTTTCAAATAAACATATGAACAAATAATACAAATATGGTGCATTTCATTAGAAAAACAAACACATAAAAAGCCTACTCAATAAGTATTCAGAAATAATCGGCGCCCCCCCCTGCATCCACACTCCCTCAACCTTCTTCCCTCTTCCTTCCTCCCCCTCTTAACCACAACCTCTCCTCTTTCCTCCCTTCCAACTATCCTACACATCCCATCACCTTCTTTTCCACCACCTCGGATGCAGTTTAGGGGTACTAGCCGATCATCTCCTCTTCTTAAAGACAAACATTTACATTATATTTATTAATTTTAAAACCTTAATAATATGAAAGGTAGCAACAATGTAAAAGCAATTAAAAATGAAATTTGTTTCATTAAAATTTACTAAAATTTACTAAAATAGAGTCATCTTTCTATTATTTGGTTATAACTCTTACCATTGTGTGAGATATGAAAGCAGAATTGCATGACAAATTGCTTACAGTAAGAAAAATAATAGAGAAACCAAAATAAAATGACTCTTGCATATTAATATTCTGTTTCATTGGTCTCTCAAAAAATTAAGGATACTGAAGATGTTGAGAAAGTCAGTGTCTGTGCTTTGAATAATTTATGATGGATAGCCGTTGCTCCCCTTTCCTGTAACTCTAGAAAAAAACATCCTTTTCTAGCAGTTAGTGTTGAAAAACAACAATTGCTGCCGGAGGCAAACAATCCTGATATGGTATTTCATGATTGTTCAGTCATTTGCTTCCCCCCCCCCCCGGTAATTTGATTTGTTCCGTAACAAAATGAATGGTAAGATTCCCTGCTCCAGCTGCGTCTGAACACTGATGAATGACCTGAAGCCTTCCATATACTCAGCTTCACTTCTTACATTCTACTCTATTGGCTGTGTTGGCTCTGGCTGCTGAGAATTGAAATCAGCAACACTTGGAGAAGGGCAATCTCCTCCCTGTGCTCAGTGGGTACCTGCCAAAACACAACATTGATTAAAGAAACCTCCCCCTTCCTCACTTCTGGAGAGTCTGACACTCTGCATCGGATCCATTTTGCCTTACAACAATATTTATGCTTGGCATGCCTTCTTGGGCTGCATTGGAATAGCAATGTAGGCAGTCCTCAACAGCAGTTCATTTAGTGTCCATTCGAAGTTACAACGGCACTGACAAATGTGACTTATGACCATTTTTCACACGACCGTTGCATGGTCACGTGATCAAAATTCACATGCTTGGCAGCTGACTCGTATCTATGAGTCTTGCAGTGTCCCAAGGACATGTGATCCGCTTTTGCAACTTTCTGACGAGCCAAGTCAATGGGAAAACCAGATTCACTTAACAAGTGTATTACTGACTTAACAACTGCACTGTTAAGTCAGTGTATTACTGACTTAACAACTGCAGTGATTCACTTAACAACCGAGGCAAGAAAGCAGATGGAGCAAAACTCACTTAAGAAATGTTTCACTTAACAACAGACATTTTTGGGCTCAGTTGAGATCGTAAGTCAAAGACTACCTGTACTAACATTATTAATTTACAATAAATATTGCAGAAAAGGACTCTACCTCCATTCTTAGCAGTTAGCTCTAGGCTTGGACAACAAGTTACCTTAGACTAAAGGTAGTTGTGGAAATCCAGCCATTAGCTTGACATATACCAATTGTAAAAATTATTATTATTTGTATGGACACAGCATTTTATAGGAATAAAGCAATTGTGGATTTTGAACATGAATTTAGTCTATGTTTCATATCCTGTGTGTTTGTACATTTTTGCGTGTGTGCGTGTATTTGTTTTAAGCGTCTTAAACTTCACTTATTTTTCCAGGTACTGTACATCAGCCAGGGACAACATGGAAACTCTTGGTCCTCCACCCCCCTATGATGACAAGAGGTCTGGAGCTGAAGGTGAGAGAACACAATCAGTACAGTCAATTTACATGAAAAGGATGTTAAATGAAAATATTGTGGAAGGCTAAGGGACAGAAGTCAGGAAAACTGTGACTTAGGACTGTAAAAAAAGGGCCAAACTAGACAGGAAGTGTTAAATGCATATTTTTGTTTGGAATTGAGATGAGGGCTGTTATTGAAGTTTCAGAATACTAATCAGTGGATAATAAATTATTTTAAAAAGAACTTGGTTCAGTCATTGTTATAATTTGCATCCAGATAAATTGCTACAATCATGCCTAGGAGATCTACTATGGATCCATCCTATCACAACTACAATTGCCATTTTGTCTGATAGGGTTGATCAACGTTGCCCTTTCCCCTCTTCTCTTAACAGATGATAGAAGTTGTGAGATGGAAGAAGGGGATTTCCGAATTGCCTATTGGGTGGAAAAAAATGTTAGGCAAGTCTTCATTCGCAAGGTAAGTCTGATACCAGCTCCCTGACATAGGCCAGAGCAGGAAATCAACTACTGAGATTGGCTAAAATAACAGAATCTTACCAATCTGATTGTCCCACTTCTTATACACCAGTGAATGGTGTACGCTTGAGACACTTTCAAATGTTACTGCATTATTCTGGATTTAAAAAATGTTTCAGCCCCTTTTGCTTAGACAGTAGCTCCTGTTTATTTCCCTCAGGTCATCTTCCTTACACTCTACATATACTTATGCAAACTATACAATATACCTGAACAACATACGGCTCAGGAAGCAGCCTTGTGTGGTCTGCTAGTATTTTGTTAAGTCAATAATTTTGCTGCTTCTGCTCCAAAAAATATGCTACTGAGTGCCTTGCTGCTACCACTCTGTTTATTACTAAACAGCCAATTGATGCACCAGGTATTCCTTTGTGGCTTTCAATTATTTTTAATCTGTTATGTGGCCCTTTCTCCTCTACAGCCTGCTACAGAATCTCTCCTAAATCAGATATTAATGCCCTTAGTGCATACATATCTTCATGAAATGGGGACACTTTAAAATGTCCCTCATGTGATGACAGTTCTTTTACAAACTCTGTGATGACCCAGGGCACAGCACCAAGACAATACAGTCAGCTGGCAATTCAAACCGGCTTTTAATTGCTCCAAATTTTCCCCAAATGCTCCCACGTTTCTGGCAAGCCTCCAAACACAGGAAGACACACACACCTTCAGCTGCCTCTGGCTGCAAGTAGTTTCACATACAGTCTGATTAGGAGAGGATTTTACTCAGAGCCACGGAGATAACAAGGAAATGATACGTGCATCATAAATCTAACGAGCTTGCCTGCACAGTTTCAAAAGGGAAGCCAAAATACAGTCCGAGATCTTTAAACATCCAAGCAATGTTCTCAGCCAGTCCAATGATCAGAGTTTCAGGGTTTCCAAGCAGAAGTCACAGAACAAGAGATCAGCAACAACACACACAAAACTCCAAGGAATCAATGTTTGTTCCCGACAAATGCCTCTCCCCACAGCGTCTTCTTAAATCTCAGTCTTCAGGTGTGCCTTGTGGAGAGGGGTGGGATGCTCTCCTCCCGAGTAGTTGAGCCTACCTGCGTTGTTCCCTCCTTCTCTTCACTCTCCGGGCTCTAGGATCAGGTGGGGGTGGCCCTTGCTCACCGCCTGAACTCTGTCTCTCCTGTTCCTCCTGTCCCACTCCTAAAGAGCCCTGGCCTGCCTCAGCTTGCTCTTCCCCACATTCCTCTAAAACCACAGACACCTCTCCCTCGACCTCCACTTTCCTCCCCAGATTCAGGCTTTGAGGGAGGCATGACAAACTCATTGGGGAAGAAGGGAGCATGATCAACAGTCTTTTTGTATGAAAGTGGTGTTCACTCTCTCAGTGTTAATCCAGAGTACTGTGAAAGGAATAAGACATACATCCGTTTGCCTGTAACCTTTTACATTTCCTGAACCTGCACTGAAGTGACAAGGAGTTGGAAAGGGGGAAATCAGTGAAGACATTTTTTTAAAAACCATATGTCTTAAAACAGAATTATTCTGGTATTAAAATGGTGTTTCGGAACATAACTTAAGCTAAATCTGTCTTTTCCCTAGGATCACATGCAGACTGTGGCGGGGAGCTATGCAGTCTGAAAAAACAAACAAACCCACAAACATGAAACTATTTTAAGCAGTTGCTAACAGATGTTACATGAATATCCCTGTCTTCCCATCTTTGCCCCTTCAGAAATGAAACATTGGCCAGCCCTTTTCTCTGTGTGGGTTGATGCAAATGCTTGTCTTTTTGTGTGTAAGTCCACTGTTTGGGCTATGTTTCCATTTGCAGAAGCTTTCCTGGATCCAAAAGAATACCTTTCAACTTAATAAGGAATTAGTGCAATGCAATTCATCAGAGAGTCTACTTACTAACTGAAAGAGAAACGTTACAATAATAGGTCGTTCTACTCATATTATGAATGATTCATATGGCTATATGTTCTGTTTGTTGTGAGTGAGTCTGGGGTTGAGATGACAATTTACTAACAATGACCAGATAAGTGGTCAGTGTTTTAAATTATGTTTCTCTTTTTATCGAGTCGATAAAAACATTATTTAGATGCAGAGATCCCTGAATGGTCTGGAGAGATGACCTGCCTGCAGTTAAATTAGTTAGGTGGCAAACCAAGGCTTCCCTACTCTGTTTAAAATAGAGAATTTAAAAATTGATGAAAGCTGAAGTAAGGCTAGTAAAATTCCAACACAACACTGTGACTCTATCTTTTGTCCCCACCTCCGGCATCAGACCCAGTCAAGCTTAGATATGACAAAATCCAAAAAAAGCATTTTTTAGTTCTTTTATTTATTACATCATGTGCGTTTCTGTTACTATTTTGTTATGTTCATAATATTAAAAGATTTCTCTAAAAATGTATAACTCCCAAAATATCTACTGGGGTGGGGGGGGGGGGAAGCAAACATTATGAGATTCTCTTCTTCAAACCTTTTAAATCTTGTAATCTGTTAAATTATGTATGCTTATAATCTTGTAGCATATGACTGGCCTGGCCCGTATGATCTAATATTGCTGGATATTTCATAGTTATATATTTCATGATTGGCTAATTGGGATGTGTGGTCTGTTAATGTGAACAAAGTTATCAGCCATCTTTTGGAGATGATTTAATTTGGTTTCTTGCTAGAAACAAGTCCTTGGTTCAGTGGTTTAAATAGCCACCTTCTAAATTTGTAAGGTTGAGAAAAGATATGGCAAGATTAAAATATTCCATATAATTCAGCAAAAGGCTTTCATTCCTGCATCAGTTCTTGTTACCTTGCTGTGGGAGCATCTGAAAATGGTCACCCACAACTTTGTTTTGGTTTTTCATTTTGAATTTGTATCTCTTTTTGTCTTCACAAACAGGTTTACAGCATCATCACCCTTCAGTTACTACTGACTGTGGCAATTGTTTCCGTCTTCACTTTCGTGTAAGTCTTCATGGGTCCAAGATAGAGAATGCCATGCAGGTGGACATGGGATTCAGAATGTGTGATGGACAATGACTGCTGACACCCCTCCAGACTCACATCAGTTAGACAAAAGAAAGAGAAGGCTTTCACTTTTCCTCCTTTTTGTGTGGCTTTTTGGCTTCCCCCTCCCTCTTTATCCTACTACTGCTTCTGATTGTAGGAACATAAATTATGTTAGCTCCAGGAGAGCAGGGGTAACCTTCGCTCCTGATGTCCAAAGCCTTCTGTAGTTTACACTGTTGCCAAAGAAGCAATGGTGATAACATTGTATGGTGCATTCCGGTGGCAGACTTCCCTCTCTGTTTTTGGAGAGTGGATTCCCCCAAAAGCCTATTATTTCTGAGATGTTCTAAAGATAGGGGTTAGAATTTATTTCTTTATTTTTATTTGGGTGTTTTATCCCACCTTTATTGTTTTTATAAATAACTCAAGGTAACAAACATACCTACTGCTCTTTCCTCCTCCTATTTTCCTCATAGCAACAACCCAGTGAGGTGGGTTGGTCTGAGAAAGAGGGAGTGGCCCAAGGTCACCCATTGGGCTTACATGCCTAAGGCAGGACTAGAACCCTCTATGGCAGTGGTTCTCAACCTTTTTAATGCCGCGACCCCCAACCGGTCGTAAGTCGAGGACTAAACCGGTCATAAGTTGAGGACTACCCAACCGGTCGTAAGTCGAGGACTTTCCCTGCCCAGGAGCGCCGCACATGCGTGGTTCCGCCCCCTGCGCCGGCTGAGGCGTAGCTGGCAAGCGGCAGAGACGGAGCAGGCTGACCACCAGCTGGCCCAGCTCAAGGGAGGTAAGGCACCCACCGGAAAAGGGGAAAAAAATGGCGGACAGCCTTGCTTGGCGACCCCCGTGAAATGGTCGATCGACCCCAAATGGGGTCGCGACCCATAGGTTGAGAACCGCTGCTCTATGGACTAGTAGAATTATTGGTATATAGAGTGCATTTAAGCAGTAGAGAAAAAATGTATTTCCCTTTGGCTCCTTCTTGTTCATATACTAGAAGCCTATAGACGTGCAAAAAAATTGGTAAACTTGGTAAGGAAATATCTATTTGCTTGAAGACCTCTTCTTTGCATTAGGTATATATATTTCAGTAATTGCACACTAAAAATGCGTAGTGAGCACAGGCTAATCAGCAGCTAGGTGCAAGCCAAGCTCTGGGTGTGGCCCAGTTAATGGGGAAGTATTAATGTTCTTGACCACAAAAAGGGAAATGAAACTGTAAGTAATAATGGAATTTTAGGCTAACTTAGATCAAAAATGGTTGACAGTCTAGTAATACTTGATCTTGTCATTCTTCTCCACAGGACTCCTGTGAGCACTTTTGTGATCAATCACATTCCATTATATTATGCATCTTAGTAAGTATTAGACGAGTGCCATTGGTGATCTATTGCTTTGCTGTAACCTTCCATAACTTAGTGCCTTTTAGATATATTGATAACACAGTCGAAGAACTCCAAACCATGGCAGAAAATACAGATAGTCTTCGATTTATGATGTTCATTGAGCAACTGTTTGAAATTATAATGCTGCTGAACGAAGGGGCTTACAACTGTCCATGTGAATTTATAGCCATTGCAGCAACCCTGCGGTCCCATGATTGTGATCTGGATTCTTGGTAACCTATTTGCACTTAACAGCGAGTTGCCAAGTCCTCCATGATCATGTGATCACCATTTGCAATCTTCTCTGCTGGCTACTTCAGAAATCAACAATGAAGCTGGCAGGGAAGTTGACAAGCTGCTGCTGCAGGACTCTTCTGGTTTCTGGGGGCTGACTGAAAAAGGTCCATCACGATCCATTTTGGGATGGACCTTTTTTCAGTGAACATCTTGGAGAGTGGAAGGGCTTTCTGCCAGATTGATTTCACCCCATGTGGGGCAGAATATCTTTGCAAAGCAGCCCTTCCACTTTCAAAGAAGCTGGCTGGAAAAGTTCTTGGCAAAATACTTAGACTTATATACAGCTTTACAGTGCATTACAGCCTTCTCTAAGTGGTTTACTGAGTCAGCCTATTGCCCCCAACAATCTGGGTCCTCATTTCACTGCCCTCGGAAGTATGGAAGGCTGAGTCAACCATGAGCCGGTGAGAATCGAACTGCTGGCAGTTGGCAGAATTAGCCTGCAATACTGCATTTTAACCACTGTACCACCATGGCCAAGAAGAATTTTAGCCTGGGATGTTTGTAGGGAAGCTGGCTCCAAACACCTCCATCTTGGCTTTCAGCATAGACTTTTGTAGCCAGCATTTTTGAGAGTAACGGCTGCCTGTCAGATGGATTTCGTTTCTCCAGTCCAGTGCAAGAATTCCCTTCTCTGCACTAACAGGAGCCATCTCCCTCTTTTGGCAGGCAGCTCTTTCCCTCACTGTTTAACAACCCACACTGTTGCTTAATGATTGCACCTGGGAGAGCTAGGATAGCAGTCATTTTGCTAAATGATTATGTGGGCACCTCGCTTAACGACCCCATGACTTAAAACTGTAATGGGCAGGCTCTATTATCATTGTTTTTAAAACAAGAACTGCCTGTACCATAATGTATACTTGACAAGTTGTACCTTTAAGATTCTCTGCTCTATTCTGACTTCCATCACCACCACTTCTAACTACATCTGATACAACTTTTCAGAGAAAGTATGTCCTACCTTCTTAACTAAGCATAGTCTTATAAAACCTCTGATAAAACTTTAATATACAAGTTCAATTATATGGCTTAAAGGACTTTCATTGAAAAAAAGGTTATTAAATTTGGAAGGTAGCTTGCTGTTTAGACTTGTCACGATTCAGTTTGCAATAATGGGTCTTTTCTGTCTTCCCAGTGGTGTATTTTTGATCTGTTACCTAGTGCTGGTGCTTTGTAAAAAGATCCAGTAAGTATCCTTTGGTAACATCTATGATTTTATGATGCATCAAATTCAAAATTTGCTGGGAATTCTGGAATGAAGGATAGAGAAGTGGTTAAAGGGGTTGGCATTCTGACTGTGGAAATACAGCCTTGACAAATGATTTCTGCCATTTTTCCCTCTGCAATAGAAATGAGAGATGTAAAAATGAGGCCTGCATGAAGCACTTCTCTTATTTGCAAATAATGCGTGGGGACACACAGCAATCACGTTCATAGGTTTAGGATTGTTGCAGCTGAAAAATAATTTTGCATGAAAAGCAGAATAATAAGAATCAAAGGACTTAGAATAGGTAAGCAATGAAAAATACAGATTGTCCTCGACTTACGACCACAACTGAGCCCAAGATTTATGTTGCTAAGTGAGAAATTTGTTAAGTGAGTTTTGCTCCATTTTACGACTTTTCTTGCTACATGTGTCAAGTGAATCACTGCTAAATTACTAACACGGTTGTGAAGTGAATCTGGCTTCCCCATTGACTTTGCTTGTCAAAAGGCCGCAAAAGGTGATCAAGATGTTGTCAAGATGTTGGCTATAGAATGGTTATACAGCAGTATTGCAGTGAAGATGCATTGTCACAACCCAGGGACTGAAAAGACTTCAGGGGAAAAAAGTTGCATATTCAGAAGAACTGTAGTGAAAAACAAGCAGAGGAAATCACTTATTACAGTGATGGCGAACCTTTTAGAGACCGAGTGCCCAAACTGCAACCCAAAACCCACTTATGCATCGTCAAGTGCCGGGTGGGTGTGGCCCATTGGATGGGTGTAGCCCATTGGGTGGGCGTGGCTGCGGTGGTAATGACAGACTGGGTGGGACTAAAAAGTTCAATCAATCAATTCCAACTTTGCAAGATCTTTTTTTTTCTTGCGAGAAGTTGAAATTGACTGATTGAACCTTTTTTTTTTTTTTGCACATGGCGGCGGAGGCCTAAAGCCAGCTGAAGGCCTAGGACTGGGACGACGGCGTGCGTGCCCACAGAGAGGGCTCTGAGTGCCGCCTCTGGCACCCGTGCCATAGGTTCGCCACCACTGACTTATTATATAATCCTTTTGAAGCTTTTTTTAAAATACATCCCTTCATCAAAAAATGTTTATTATTGGCTTCCTTGGTGATGGGGCCCAAGTTGCTAACTTTCTCTACATATAAATTAGATTTATACCTTCTTTAGTAGGAAAGCTATTGTCCCTTCTTTCTAGATGCCTTTGAAAGATTTTCATTATATTACTTTTTCCGGCTATGTTTTTTTTTTTTAACAGTTTCTGTGCAAGTTTTTTTAATTTTTTTTTAAAAAATTGTCTGTATCCTGCCTTTATTATTTTTTACAAATTGCTCAAGGAAGCAAACATATCCACCACACTTTCCTCGTCCTATTGTCCCACAAACACAAACCTGTTAAAGTCAGGATATAGAATCTTTTTTGGGTTAAAGGGTTTAGGCTACAGTGGCTTTGCTTGGGAATAATGAAGATAGAAATCAAAATGTAGCTTTTTTAAATCTTGGTTTGGGAGCTTCCTGTTGCCAAATAACTTATACATTTTGCTCTTAAGAAGCTTGGAATAGAACATGTGGAATAGTGGTATATCTTTGAAACAGTTCTGCCAAGATATACTTTTTTCTTAAAGTGGGGCCATTTGTATAGGCGCTGGCTCATTCTCTGGTCTTTTTCAGGAGACGATTTCCGTGGAATATAATCCTTATGACCATCTTCGTAAGTAGTAGATTGATGTTACAGGTTGGGCTAAATTTAGTAGACGTGAAATCCCTAACACGGGGAGACCTGAAATGTTGGCAATAGGGCCTAGGATAGAGATTAAAAAGAGTAATATATTTGCATTATTGCGAATCTTCAGATAAAATTTAATTCCAGATTATTAAAACACTTGGCAGGAAAATGATTTTATTGCCTCCAAACTACAAATGTTTCATTACATTCAGATGGATTATCTAAACAGTGCATCTTTCCCTTCGAAATAAATACATTCACAAAGTTATTATTCAGGAGAAAATGGCATAATCTAACACCAACAATTTGGAATTGGGGTAAAATGGAACACCTAGGCCATTAACCAGTATAAGTTTTAGAAATCATATAATACCTGTACTGAAAGATCAGCATTAATTGCCAGTTGTACATTGCGCAATTTAAGGTATTAATATTAATGGCTTATGACCTAATGAAGAGTGATCATTTCTCTCATTACGGACTTGTCCAATTATTAACCTCTGTATTTCTAACCTATGAAAGAGCTTGAACAAACTGCATTTTTAACTTTCACTTGAACAAACTGCATTTTTAACAGGACTATTTATTCTTGCCTAAGATGATACACTGGCAATTCACTAAAAAAATTCTTGATCTGGGCTTGCTTGTTAATTTGTGTTTGTTCACTTCTGAATGGGGATGGAAAAATTTACAATGGAATAATAGATATAGCCAAGATGTACGTAATGTTTTGCTAATTTTGTTTTCTGTTTTGCTTTTTTTTTCTCCCTAGACATTGGCTTTGGGATTTATGACAGGCACCATTGCTAGGTACTGTACAAGGGAGTAAATGAGAGTGATAATGTACAGTGGGGATAAACAAGCTGGATTTTCTCAAAAAATAATGGCAAAGTATCAAATAATTATTACTAGAAAATGGATAACCATAGGCTTGTGAAATAAAGCCTCGTATTTCCTAAAAGTACCAATAAGCTCTTTTTTCAGTTTTGGTTATAAATACATCATTGTCATCAGTTATTGGGCATTGTCTTAGGAGATTTTATTATAGTTTTGTCATTGGCTCTTGGATGGCTAAGGCCTCTTTTAATATAAAAATAAACCAGATTTCCCTCTTGTGTAAGATTTTGTACTAGAACCATTGTAGAATTTGTATCTGGAAACATTCTGAAGAAAGATTGAATGGCTTTATTTAAGAACCTATTGTGAGCATTTTAAAATAACTGTTGAAAAATAGCACAGTAACATTTCTGGAAAAGTTCTGCCTATTTCTTAATAAAGTGAGATTAGAATGAGCCGTTGTTGCATGAGAATATTTTTGAAGTTTCTTCAGAAACTATAGCGTCTTAGATTGATGTCAAGAATGTTCAAGTCATCTATTTATCCTATAATAGTGCCAGTAATTGATACAAATTGATAGTGTTTATTTTTAAGAAGCATACTGGCCTGGATTGAGAATATCTGACTTCTCTTATTCCAGTTTTGCAGTCAATCAGAAGCATTTATTGGGATCCATTGATGATTGCAAGTAGAAGTTTTGATAAACTCATTAGGATCACTTTCCACGTGGCTTATAAGAATTTTCATAACCTAAATATTCATATTCATAAAATATCCTAAAGGCCTTTTTAAAAATCCCTTTTTTTGCAGCATGCATGAGACCAAAGCTGTAATCCTTGCCATGATCATCACTACAGTTATAACAGTCACTGTCACTGTTTTCTCTTTCCAAACAAAGGTGAGTTATCTTGTCATTTTAATACAGTGAAAAAGAGCAAATAGGATAGTCAAGAATGAGTAAAACAAGAGGGATAATCAAGAATGAATTGGTGCAGAATACTGTACAAAAGCGAGTGACTACTATAAAAGAAGTACTCTGTGATGGTTTAATTATGTAGTGAGAACTAATAAAGATCAAACTACAAAACAAGTATATGAAGAAAGAATGTGGGTTGAGAGGAAGGGAAAAACCAAAGAGGTAAGAAGTTTAAGGAACAAAAGGAAGTGTGTGAAGCAGTATATGAAGATGGTGGAAGCAAGGATGGTTTGCAAGGATGGAAAATGTGAAGAGGTAGTGCATGGTGTTAGTAGAAGCTAGATCAGTGATGGCAAACCTTTTAGAGACCAAGTGCCCAAACTGCAACCCAAAACCCACTTATATATTGTCAGGTGCCGGGTAGGCGTGGCCCATTGGGTGGGGTTGGCCCATTGGGTGGGGGTCGGCCCATTGGGTGGGCATGGCTGCGGTGGTAATGGCAGACTGGGTGGAACTAAAAAGTTCAATCAATCAATTCCAACTTTGTGAGATCTTTTTTTTTCCGCAAGAAGTTGAAATTGATTGATTGAACCTTTTTTCTTTTTTGCGCATGGTGGCAGAGGCCTAAAGCGAAAAGGTTTTATAAAACCCAGCTAAAGGCCTAGGACTGGGGCGACAGTGCGCGTGCCCACAGAGAGGGCTCTGCGTGCCACCCATGGCACGCGTGCCATAGGTTCGCCACCACGGAGCTAGATCAACTTACATTCAATTTTTTCTTTTTTTCTTCTCTCATAACATGTCTTTAATTTCTTTGACTCATTTCTTACTCATTTTGCATAATATTGGCTACCTTATGTACTGTATGTATGTATTGGGCAATAAAATGGTGTCACTTAATGCTGTGATGTATCATTCTCATTGGCAGGTGGATCTCACAACCTGGACTGGTTTTTTCTGTATACTGGCAATTGTCCTCTTTGTGACTTCTATCAGCACCACTGTTGTTCTGGTATACAAATATGTAAGTGGCTGGAATGGATGACTGGCTTTCAAAAGTAGTGTGCATTCATATCTATATATGTTTACATTTGGAACATATTTGCTTTAATTGGAAAGCTATGACAGATAATGAATGCCTCCATTTTTTTTTCTAAAGAATTGATTCCCCTTCACTTGATTGAGGCCTTAACACACGGGTGTCAAACTCGCCATGTCACGTGTCGCAACATATCGTGACTTTTTTTTGCATTGCCAGAGCGGGGGTGGGCACAGCCTCCGTATGATACAACTGGCCCATGGGCCAGCAGTTTGACACCCCTGCCTTCATAGATCCTTTCTATTCATATTGTGTTGTCCCTTAATAATGTCAATGGGGTTGTCACTGACTTAAACTTTCTCTTGCAGAGATATGTAATTAACCGGCTCTTACTTATCTTATTCAGATCTATTGGGTCCATATGCTTTATTCAGCCATTTGTGCCATCATCTTTACCCTGGTTAGTAAATTATTTTCTATTGCCCTGAGATGCTTTTTATGAAAAATAATAGATGTACAGCACTTTGAACGCTCTTATGTGCTATGTAAAATAAGATTATACAGGTAGTCCTCAACTTACGGCCACAATTGAGTCCAAATTTTGCTAAGCAAGACATTTGTTAAATGAGTTTTGACCCATTTTACGACCTTTCTTGCCATAGTTGTTACGTGAATCGCTGCAGTTGTTAAGTGAATTAGGTTTCTCCATTGACTTTGCTTGTCAGAAGGTTGCCAAAGGGGATCACATGATCCCAGGACACTGCAACCGTCATAAATATGAGTCAGTTGCCAAGTGTCCAAATTTTAATCGTGTGATCACAGGGATACTGCAATGATTGTAAGTGTGAAAAATGGTCCATTATAACGTTGAACGGTCACTAAGTGAACTGTTGTAAGTTAAGGACTCCCTGCAGCTTAGCAGCTCATTTCCAAACTGGCAATGATTCATCAGAGGCAGCCTTTCATTGACCTGTCATAAATAATAATACAAAATGCCTGAAAGACAGATGAAGTTGAAGAAAATGCCAGAAGTGCTTTGACTTTAGCCGTTCAAACAAAATATCAAGATTTATTTGTTAACGCAAATTACATCTAATAAAGTTGAGCTTTCCCAATAAAAGGAAATTGGCACTGTATATTAATAGCAAGTGGGGGATTTGCTATAATTTGTAAATTATTTGATGTAATAGAATCACTTCTTTGAGCACTTCCAATTAAAATATGGAGAGTTTAAAAAGTGGATCATTAAGAAGCATCTCCCTTCTTGGTGTGAATTATAGAACTGTTTTCTAACTTGTATGTATGTTTTCTGTGTGTGTACCATTTTGGTACATTAAAAATTTACTGCATTAAATTAAATTTTAAAAAGATCTGAAATTTTGAAATGAAGCTAAGGAATTCAACAGATAAAGAGTATGTTGGTAGGATCACACAAAAACATATTGAGCGACACATTTTAAATGAAAATGAAGGAACTGATGAAGGATGCAGGGCAAGAAATGATTGGCTGGACACTTGCATCTTTAGAGGTAATTTTTGTTTTGAACTATAAGACTAATTTCTTCTTTCTGATTTCCTACAGTTCCTTGCATATGATACCCAGTTGCTCTTGGGGAATAAGAGGTTTGCCATCAGTCCTGAAGATTACATTTATGGAGCAATTCAAATCTACGTAGATGTCATCTATATCTTCCTTTCTTTTTTAAGACTTGGAAGCAGACGTTAAGGAATTTGGGGGGGGGGGCTACTTAAGGAACATGTTTACAGAATATTAGTATCTTTGCCTTCCCCCATATGAATCTGCTTTTGAATAATATTATCATAACACATACTTACAAATTTTCATGTTGCTTTTATTTTACTATACTGTGTGAAAGCTTTGTATATTGTACAGAAACTCATTTATTAAGTATATGGGCTGAACTCAAAGTTCAATAAACTTAAGTCCCCTGAAATAATAATTATACTGTCAATGTATGCCCTATGAGCTGCATTTGTGGTTAGTTAGATTTTCCAGATTTAGGCCTAAGATTTTCTGCATCAGCATCCATGCCAAAGCTCTGATCTGTAACTATTAAAATTAGAGTAATTCTTCAGTTAACATAAAGCAATACAACTAGTATATTAATGTAGCATACAGCATATAGCCAAAATGTTACTATTTTTTCTTCATAGTACATCTACATGTACTATAACAGTGATGGCGAACCTTTTAGAGACCGAGTGTCCAAACTGCAACCCAAAACCCACTTATTTATTGCCGGGTGCCAGGTGGGCGTGGCCCACTTGGTGGGCCTGGCTGTGGTGGTCATGACAGACTGGATGGGTGTGGCCAAGGTGGGCATGGTCACCTCTATGTTGCTCATGGGGAGGGACACTTGTGGGGGCCGGGCAGGGTTGGGGGAGATCCAGGGGGTCTCTGGCAGGTGGGATGGTGGGCAGGAGGCTCATCCTGTGGGGTGAGGTGAGGCGAGGCAGGGCGAGGTGAGGCAGGGTGGGGGTGCCATTGTTGCAGGGCGAGGCGAGGCGAGGCGAGGCAGGGCAGGGGTGCCATTGTCGCGAGGTGAGGCAGGGGCCGGGGTGGCTGCTGCCTGACACCATCGGCCCCCGCACACAAAGGCCAGCGAGCACATGGGGGCCAACAGTGTCCATCAGCAGCCACAGCCTGCCAGCCCCTCGACCAGTGCACTCTGGGGCTCCACAGCCTGCCGCCAGCAGTTCAGAGAAGCCGCCTCTGAGCTGGACGGCCAGCCGACAGCTGAGGAGGTGATGCAGTGGGTCGTGCCCGGGAAAAGAAGAGCATGTGAGGCCAGGAGGGATGGGACGGGGGGGAGGGAAACCAGCCATGCTGGAATACATCTGGCCACGTGGGACCTCAGCGAGTTAGCGGGCAGCTGGTTGAAGAGGGACAGTTGCCATCTCTGGGGCATGGCGCATGTGCCCACAGAGAGGGCTCTGAGTGCCACCTTTGGCACACGTGCCATAGGTTTGCCACCACTGTACTATAAGGAGGCTTGTTCATAGCTGTTCTCTTATTAGAATTCCTAAATTAGACCAGAGGTTCCTGTAGGTTCCTCTAGGTGTCGCCAAATTTGGTGACTTTAAGACTTGTGGACTTCAACTCCCAGAATTCTTCAGCCAGCCATAAAGTCCACAAGTCTTAAAAGTTGCCAAGTTTGGAAACCACTTCCCTAGGTCAAGATTCTGTTTTACACAGAGGTTTCTTGGATGCTGTTACCTGTAAGAATGTCAAAGAGACAGGGCTGCTGTTGTTTTTCAGTGGTCTGACTCCCAACAAGAAAGAGATTAAATCCTCTAGTAATATTTTACTGTGCACTTCTAGGAAGTTACTGCACGCTATTAAAACATTATTTACAGCTTTTGCATCACAGGTTGTGAGAGCCCTGTCTCACACACAAGGGGTAGAAGATGAATCTCCTAGAAAATAGATGATGGCAGGAGTAACTTCTGAGGCAGACAACATGAAGATCCAGAGGGCTTCTGGGTTGACACCTCCAATCTTCCAGCCTGCGGACTGTCATTTATTATACTAGTATTACAAATAAATTGTATGGTTTTTATATATAGTACTGGCATTTTATTTGTAATTCCTTTATTAATGATTGCCACAATGAAACCTTACTTTTTCAAGCTGCTGCTTTGGGGAAGAAAAAAAAAGCAGGATAGCTATGATAATTCAGGAAAAGGGATCCCAATGGATAAATAACTATATGGTCTTCTATCATTGCGCTTTCTTCCCCCCCCCCCCCCGACTAATTTTACAAGAAACCCTTAAGGTGCAAACCACCTTAGACCTATTTGCGAAATTGCAATTTAATTTTGTTTGTTTATTAACATGCACTGGCTTTATAAGTTACATATTAGTTGTGAAGTGGGAGGTGCTCAGATTGCTTTTATACTACAAATATCCAACTAAGAATAATACATTTTAAGTGAAAAACATGCATTTAAGAATATCGGTGTTTTTTGGGGGGTATACCCTACTAATGAGAATAAAATTCAAGTTCAAATAATGGGAAAGATTTTGGATATTTGCATAAAACTATGTTATTTATTTCCTATAATTATACTCCTGCAGCTCCAGAGCAAGCAGGATCAGGACCATAATGTTCAGAATAGATCTATTTCTGGAGGAACAAATCTATTGATAGCTCTTAAAATCTGCATATTTATCTTTAGGCATTTCCGCACAAACAATGGTAAAGACAAACAGGGCAAATACCAGTTCACAGACTGATTAAAATTCACCTGTGAACATTAATCTATCCATGTCATATAAATTCTTTCTCATTGTAACCATTTGGGTGAAAATTTGCAACAGGAAAAAAAATATGTAGTGATTTCACTTGCAGTCAATTGTATTTCTTGCATAATATCTAAACAATGAATGATACATGGAACTGACTAAAGCAGGGGTGTCCAAACTTTTTTCAAAGAGGGCCAGATTGGATGAAGTGAACGTGCTGGAGGGCCGAACATTTTTCCTCTCTTTCCTCTCCCTCTTTCTCTCTTCCCTCTTTCTCTTTCTATCTTTCCTCTCCCTCTCTCCCTTTCTCTTTCCTTTCTCTTTCTTTCCTCTCCCTCTTTTTCTCTTTCTCTTTCTCTCTTTCCTCTTTCTCTCTTTCCTCTCCCTCTCTTTCTCTCTTCCCTCTTTCTCTTTCTATCTTTCCTCTCCCTCTCTCCCTTTCTCTTTCCTCTCCCTCTTTCTCTCTCTTTCTCTTTCTCTCTTTCCTCTCTTTCTCTTTCCTCTTTCTCTTTCTCTTTCCTCTAACTTTCTCTTTCCTCTCTTTCTCCTTTCTTTCCTCTTTTCTTCTTTCCTCTTTCCTTCCTTTCTCTTTCCTTTCTCTCTTTCCTCTCTTTCCTTTATTTCTCTTTATTTCTCTTCTCTTTCCTCTTTCTTTCCTCTCTCTTTTCTCAATCTTTTTTCTTTCCTCTTTTTCTCTTTCCTCTCCCCCTCGCTTTCTTTCTCTCTTTCCTTTCTCTTTCCTCTCCTTTCTCTCCCTCTTTCCTCTTTCCTCTTTCCTCTTTTCTTTCTCTTTCCTCTTTCTTTCTTTTCTTTCTCTTTCCTCTCTTCTCTTTCTCTTTCCTTTCTCAATCTTTTTTCTCTTTTCTCTTTCTTCTCCCTCTTGCTTTCTTTCTTTCTTTTCTCTCCCTTTCCTCTCCCTTTCTCTTTCCTCTTTTTCTTTCTTTCCTCTCTCTCTTTCCTCTCTCTTTCTCTTTCCCTCTCTTTCTCTTTCCCTCTCTTCTCTTTCTCTTTCCTCTCTTTCTCTTCCTTTCCTTTCCTTTCTTTCCTCTCTTCTTTCTCTTTCCTCTTTCTCTTTCCTCTATTTCTCTTCTCTTTCTCTCTTTCCTCTTTTTCTCTTTTTCTCTCTTTTCTCTTTTTCTTTTTTTCCTTTCTCTTCTCTTCCTCTCTTTCCTCTAACTTTCTCTCTCTCTTTCCCCTCTTTCTCTTTCCTCTTTCTCTTTCCACTTTTTCTCTTTCCCTCTTTCCTCTCTTTCTCTTCTCTTTGTCAAGCCCCACAGGGCTTGCCACTCACGGGTGAGGGTTGGGGGACCGCCAG